ATACCTGACACCATTTCCCGTTGCCACCCAAGTCCCGTGACAACAATTTTGGTCATTTTACCCAGTAGTGGTAAGAACAGTGAGCTAATCGTAATGACACTGGAGATGACACTATGTTATTCGTATGGGGAACAAATGACAATGCCAAAAGAAGTGCGTATTCAAAACATTAGGTCAAAGAGGTCTTGATAATAAAGGGCACTTGCGTGAAGCACGTTTAAAGCATCTCTTAACTTTGTTCTCAGGTGCACGAAGCAACTGCTAAGCAAATTGACAGAAATTGAGATGTAACTGAGAGAAAATTCTTATGTAACGTTCCCGCGCCCGCTTTGCATTTGTGCCATTCCATTAAACAACACCGCACTGGTGGTGTCATCCGTTGGTTGGTGATAGAAAGTTTGCAACCGAACAACGACTGATGCTTGGTGCGCGTGTAGCAGCTCCACTGTCAGTTAAAAAAACAAAATGTCCAGACTCCTTCTCGTAGTTTTACTGATGCAACTTCCTTTGCAGTAAGGAGTGAAGTGAAAAACGTTAGATTCAATAGAGCAGTTATTTCTTTGGCGTTTTTTGGTGCAAGGTGACTAGCTCGTTTGATGCACAGTAGGATATCATCACGTCTGCGCTCAGAAACCGTTAGTAGTCTCTCACTTTCACAGTATACACCCATCACTCTTTTGTAGTCACATCACTCTTGTTTGAACTGTCGTTCTCCCGTCCTGGTGCAATCGTTCTGGTCAGTCTGGGCCAAAGGAAGGAAGCACTGGACTGAAGTTTCTGTCTTATCACAGCTCATCGACAGTGCAGGGTTTGAACTCCGGAGTTCAGCACAAGAGAGAACGTCGGACGCATCTGAATTTTATTGTCTGTACCGGCGAAGGTGTGCACGCTTGAGTGTTGTGACTGGTAAGCCCAAATCATGAACCAGTTGCATCGATCGAGTGGCCCGCCTGCCAGGATTTACCAGTCAGGAGTCGCCACAGATGCCTGGAACCCACTGGACAAGACGTATCCAACAACTCCCAACAGCGCTACAAATTCATCAACAACTATAGGCCAAAAATGAACATTTTGGTTCAATAAGATAGTTTTTATTATCTTACTGAGATACTGTAAATCTCTGACATGCGGCCAAGATATCATCGGGTACGATTTGTACGACAAGCGAGTCCAAAATATATGGTTCTCTCATATTATATAATAAAGTGACAAATGGCTAGAAGGAGCGTTTTGGAGATACAGGCTTGTTTGCTTCAGTCTGTTCAAATTTCCCATTAAGATCGGAATACGCTAATAGCGCCGTCTTACTGGGGACGCGGTGTAATGAATTCCATCTCGGTTCTTCCTCTCTACCTCTCTGTTTGGATAACCATGATTTTTGCACCAATCATATTTTGAAGTGTTACTAAAGTGAATGCATACAAATCAGACATCGAAGACAAAACGCTTTATGAGGCGGTGCAGGAAGGCATACTAAGCTACATAACGGGCACTGCCGAGTTCCAGGGATGAGTTCGATTCTCTCCAAAAATAGTTCAGCCACGCCATGGATGCACCTGCATTTGAAAACGCTCAGGTGGAAAATCGTAACAAAAGCTGGCAATAGGAACAGTTTGATCCCTAGTTATGTCATCTAGTACCAAGAGCATATAGGACCATGCGAGACCCATTTTGGATGACGACTTTGTTCTCAACGGAACTCAGATTCTTTGCTTCGTCCTTCCTGCTACTTTACCGTTTACCTAACTGTCGAATAATCAGGACTGTAAAGCCTCTCCTTAAAGACAAATTTTAGGACCCAGTCACGGTCTGGTGCCTTTTTCGATCAAGTATCCGCTATATAGCCAAAAATGCATTTAATATTGTTATTGCTGCAAATCTATTGACGCGAATTAACGTAAAACAGCACTTGCCAGGTACCTAGAGCAGCCCTCGAACCTCTGACGGTAGAGGATAAGCCTCTCTGTTGTACACCAAAACAACTCAAGTCAGCCACACGTACGAGCTCTCATGATGCCCTCGTGATGACTTAGGTCAATTTCATTATCAAACACGAGATGTGCACTGATTTCGTCTGTTCGGATTTCGACATCCGCCACAAGACTCGGAACTATAATCTGTACATGTCAAATCAACCGTCTTTTTACTTGCAACAAATCGAACTCAACGTTGCCTGAATTCTAATGTTTGAATCTTTGTGGCAAAATTAGTTATGGTGTCATGTTATTAACAACGATGATAATAATACTGTGGCAAAACTGGTGCACCATTATCGGACAACACTTTTAGAAAGCTCCTCATAAAATCGAAGACCGACATGTACGTGTACACAATTGGCGTTTTATGTTGACAAACTGATCGATTAGCGGAGTTAGTAAACCCTTGTGTCAAAGAAAAAATAAGATTATGAGCATCTCGTTTCCGAGAACTGGAAGGCATCAAAAAAACTTACGTCTAGCATATGAGTGAAGCAGACAATAGCTGCTCACTGTGTGCAGCAGATCCGAGGTATAAAAACACTGGAGCAAACCCCACCGACAACACCCAACCGTGCACTTGTGCTACCGTCGGCAGCTGTGGTTTACGAGTCCCTGGCTTTTTATTAGGAGGTTAGACACATCATAAAATTGTATTCCACAGAAATACAGCTTCCTTTTCAAAGATATATTGAGGACACTAGTCTGCTGTGTAGTCGCATCACAGGTAAGGCTATGGTAAACGGCCAAGCATGGAATCTTCTAATTTTAATTTGGTGCAAAACGACTCTGGTCCAACGACGCTTCTGGACAACCGGAAACATCCACTGAAAGATGGCGTCATTGCGTCCATGGCCCCATTTGGATCTTTTATTTTGTCTACCTATGGACAACATACGTCAACAAGAGGCGCGCTCAGCATACCGATAAGAGTCTCTTGTTTCAATAGATTTTGCAGGATTTGGACTTCAAATTTATGCATGTCATGGTTGTACGAGTGCTGGAATACTGCTAGAGCGCCCACACCTTGACGGGAGGACGAAACTTATGGTTGTACGGCGGTGAAGCATCAGTGCCAACACTGATCTTGCTGTCCTTGATGGTGATAAGGATGATGGTGATGATCGTGATCATGATGACGATGATGATGATGATGACGATGATGATGATGATGATTTTAATGATGATGATGATGATGATGATGATGATGGACGTCAAAGACTATCAAATGGACCAAAGGTCGAAGTTTGAATGGTTGATGCCTTTCACTTTCCCATTTAAGGCTAATAGTAACATTAACTTTAACGGCTAGACCTGTTGAGACGCGACCGGGAGCCGAGTAAGTTATCAGAAGAGAGGCGTTGGTAATATGAAAATGTTTTGCCTGGTAGTCTTGATGTGCTCAGCGTGCAAACCAGCTGGGCCTCTGGTTTAAGACGATCAAAGTGGCACTGAGTTATTTTTAGTTTTAGTACCTTCATTTTTTCGTAGGATTGGTTAACACCAGAGCCACGGCCAATGGTACTGCTGTACCGACTCTGTTACCTCCAATGCGTAGCTCTCATTTTATACTGCATAAACAGATCCACGTATTGTCCGTACACAAATTAGACCACCACCTGCAACGAGTGGCTCTAATTCCCCTATTCCCTGTAGCCTCTTTGAACAAAGCTATAGAATCCAAAACCACTTAAATTTAATGCAGGTTGGCGAACTTAACAACAAAAATGACTAACAGATTACCGTGAACGTCAAACCTCAGTGTAATAGCCATCCGCGTAAGGTTACTTAGCACGTCCATTCTCACGGAGCAGTCGTATCAGTTTCAAAGTCCTAGAGGACAATGTAGCTAATTTTCAGACACCAGTCTGCGGAAAATCGTGACAAAGGGTCACTATGGATGCTGAAATTCATCTTCCACCATACTTCAGTGGAGTATAAAAGTGGAAGACTATCGTAATGCACAGAAGTTTAATGCATTCAGCGGTCAACAAAACAAAAATTCGACTTCCGCTATACTTACAAAAACCTTTAGTTTTTCGTCGAGTACACTTGCTGTCAGTGAAACCAACATGTTTTACACGCGCGTCTTAAAAGTATAAACGCAGACTCAATTATCCGCTTGCCCATAAATGTACCATCAATTGAGGTACTAAACCAAAGGTGCTGCGAGTTTTTATGTGTTTCACATCAGTTCAAAAACAATTATGTTGAAGACGTTCAACTCAAAAATTATCTGACTTTGGGATATCTTGCTTGCCAGCAATTTGTTACTGGCATTGCAAGAAAAGGTTTTAGATAACGAATGAGGTATGTCACTTCATTTACTGTTTCGTAATATGAGTTAGTTCTTGTTGAATCATCTCAGAAGTTAGAGAAAGTCCACAGGAATCCAAGCATTAATGGAACAAAGACCTGACCCCTAGACTTCTTCTATCCGCACTTTCCTTGAAAACCTGAGCGATATCGTTGCCTTGCAAAATTCTGCTCTCCAAGAGCAAATACGACTTGTCTAAGTCATAGTCAGGTCTGCTTTGGTTTTTTCAATGTCGCAAACGGATTGCGGTTTTTACGACACGGATTCACCACCTCTACCTTAACAAATTCTCCTACACAAAACTTTGTGCATTCGCCGAAGACATTCCGACGCAACTAGCTTTTCTAGATTTCAAAGTCTGGCACACCATGTTTGTAAAAACATGGTGTGCCAGACTTTGAAATGTCCTCAGGGAAATGTCCTCAGTGTGATTCGATGACAAGTTCGTAAAATCGTGTTTGCATCGCAATACGACGAACAAGGGAAGACAAGCGTCTTTAATTTGCCTGGTGAAAAATTCCAACCATCAGCTAAACTGGTTAATTTCGTCAGTCATCGGCGGGTTGTCATGTGTGTCTTCTGAATACTCTACTATTTTAATCAGCCCAAGCATCTGGTTTCTAAAGCTGCATGTTTTTTCATCTCGACTTTGCCATTCAGCAGGCAGGATAGGGGAAACAAGTTTCAAAGTAACCCTGCTCATTCATTGAAATTGCCCTCGCAAAACCAACATATCATAAAAGATAACAATATTTTTATATGCAGTTATTGGTCTGAATACTTAAATCCTGCTCATTTTCAAAGTGGTTTGACATATGGAAGGCGACCATTTCCGGACCAAAACTTTCATTCATACTGGTGGCTAATCTTCGTCTGCTTCTTCATGGAGCACAGGCACTCCTAAAAAGAAGAGCATAAAAAGTTTGAATGCTTTGGAAAACATAAAAAGTGCGCCGCACCAGCAACCTAATAGAGGAAAATCTGGACACATTGTACCCACCAGCAAAATGTAAATGTCATCAAAGCTAGTTCCATGAACTGCCTACGAGATAGTACTGATTTTTAGCCAGTCTGGATCGTACTGATAGCGTTTCAAAACGTATCTAACCTATAGAAAGATGGCTTGTATACCACTGTATAATGGAGTGTAGATGTCTTATACATAGATGTTCTGGCGTGCAAAGTTACGTCAGTACTCCTTGAGGGACGCTCAGACAGTCATTTTTATACTTCAACAAATGGGACTCATATGGTTGGTAAACTTTCGTGTCAAAAAGATGTGAAAACCTTTTGAAAGTTAAGAATACTACTGAAGATGATCGGCTTCCTGAAACAGCTTTGGTGACCACCAGTTAGGTCTCAACAGTTCACAAAACGTCGCGCATCAGGTATATAGTATTTCAGGAAGGGCAACAAAAAGATGAAACATTTGTCTATAAGGATGGTAAAATGTAGTCCAACAGTAAATATCTGTGGATTTTTTTAAATAAAGACCTGCAACACGAACTTATCAGGACTAGAGAACAACAAAATTATAAACAAATTCATGCACTTCAATTTCTATAAGCTGCGCTCGTGAAGGATTGTTCGGGAAAGCAGCATATATCTAAGGGTAAACACGATGTCCGTGCACCTGCTATTAGTACAAAAGAATGGATTGCCATAGAACAAGTGCTGCAGATATCTTGTAAGAATGACCTATATTTAGAAACTGACGAATCAACCCTGTCATTGATTATATTATTGACACATTTTACTCCAGTGCTTGGGTTATCAGGATATGTGAGGATTGAGCAAAAGTCAGAAAGAATGTGACAGAATAGCCACATAAGACACACCACATTCAACTGGTTGAACTTCTATCAATAGTTTTTTTTTGTTCTGAGGAGTGGCAGGCAAGATTTATGGGATGTTTTATGCACAAAACAGCTTCCACAGGTTTAAGACCCAGTCAGGTTGATAAATAATATCCATTTAGTCCATAAAAATTATCCATGAGTCATCATGGGACATTTAATGCGTTATACCAGCACCTGCTTTTGTCTCAGTCGCTTTTGGGTTATAAGCAGACTGATACATAAATTTACCGGCACCAGTTGATTTTTGCATGCCACTGAGGAGCAGTCCTTCCATTGCTATAAGCGCAGCCAAGCTGCACAAGACAGGGCAACCAATATAAAAGAAACCAAACAATTATCTATATATACGACAGCTTTCCAACTAATCGCTGAGCTTGAAAGGCCAGATTTCATATTTTTAGAGGCCAGTCTATCCTTACCGGAGTTCAGATTAGTTGATTAGATTACAAGTGACAAAAAACTTTGAAATGAGCGTAACTATGATAAATATCTATCCGACTTGCGGCTGTTTACGGAGATGCACAGGGTGTTGTTGGATGGGAACAAAAGGTTCTGTTACATAATGTTGCGGAACCAGAGGAGACACACTGTCCAGTCCAATAATCTTATGTATAGACGGATTTTGAGTTCTTTTAGTAAATCGTGCATGTTGAAATAAATTTATCTAATTTGTTAGCTCTACCGAGTTTTGAAGACTGCCAGCGATTCATTTTATCAAGACTCCACACAAAACCCTACTGTGTTTTTTGCGGCTCATTATCATCACAAATGACAGCTTTTTTGGGAGATTAGTAGTGATTTATTGCTACACGAACGTTTGTTTTTTTACTCCCCTCTTTCGTCCAGAGGGTGATCGACAGAAATACGATACCTCTATCCAGGGTTGGAAAATTTTGCTGATGAATCTCATCCTGAAAGTGAGGTGCGCTATCCCTTACTCCTTTTCGCCTACGGCATAGTTTCTTTAACTGCGAGTGTGAAGTAAGTGAGTAAACTAAGGATCATTTCGCTTGTTTTCTTCAAACCATGAAGAGATCTTCTAACTCCTTTACCATTCACAATTCCCGCTAAATCATAAGATCGTTCATCTCATACTGAAAACACCGCTTTCTTAAAGTGAGCTGTTTATCTGGCACACAATGATCATCTTTCAATCTGTAAAACTTCCGTGTTTATATTTTAATATGCGGCCTGATGTGTGCGTACAAAATTGAGGTAAGCCACACAAAAAAACACTCACATAATGAACATGAGTGGGTGGGAACGAGTTCGACGATCTCGATTACGGCCTTTACTAAATCATTATTTTCCGTGACCACATAGAACGATGTATAATAATAATACGTGGTCCCAAAATAAAGGTTAATCATGTACAACTTTTTCTAGAACATTTTACGTTTGGCCCAACAGAGTCCACTAGTCTATCCTATCAGCTGTTTTTTCAAGTTGAGTTTTTGTACTGCATGATACATGTCTGCATTCCATTATGCTGTTCAGTATTTTACAACCATTATCGATCAATACGTGACCACGGTACAACTCAGTAGCAGTCATTATTCTAGACACCTTCGTGCACATTCGTGCGTCTTTTACCTTGAGTTCACGCCTAAATCATTTCAACGCGGCGTCTTAAGTAACACTAGCAAACAGTACCATTAGTAAGCTTTGAATGTGACGACCACTTCCCTTGAAGCTTTCTGGATGCCCTGAATAAAAAAATGGAACTGTTTTGAACCTGGTAAACGCCATTCATTGCTCTATGCCGTGTTTTTCGGTGATACCGCTTGATCCATAGTACAATTGCGGTATGTTTTGCTAAAACGCTTTTGCCTAAATATCCGGCTATCCTGGCGGCCAATAAAAGCTAAGAAAAGAACATTTATTGGCTGTATAATGCACCGGCAGGGCTGACACTAATACCAGAAACTCAGAAATAATCCGCACTGTTTCTTTGCTTACAAAGTGCACTCGCGCAATAAATACCTCATTTTCGAACGCATAGTTTTATATCGTCGCTGTGTGGCACTTTTTAGGTACCACTGATTTGTGTCAACATCACTCACAACACATGCATGTAGAAACCGTGTATGTCACCGGGGGTTAGATTTAAAAAAGCGTGACATCATGGGCAAAGACGGAGAGCAACTAGAACAAACAATTAAAAGCGCTGTTGTAGTGCACATAAACCAAAGTAAGATTGCATTTATTATTAAAATCCTGTGGAGTCCTCCATGAACTCCACATAGGTCACAAAGATGAAACATCGAAAAGTTGCGGTGATAGTGATAGACAAGCCAATCGAGGTGGTAGATAAATCTCTTTCCGGGGGACTGGCTAGATATTGGATTATTTCCCGAACGGAAAAGGCCGGAGCAGCGTATGTCAACCCCCGACCCTTGTGGGGCCGAAATGACGTGAGTTTGTCTAAAAAGGATGGAGATTACACTGTGGTGGTGCAATACATACTGCTTATGGATCAGAGAAGTAACTTTTATTCTCGGAAAACATACTGGAGATGTCAGTGTTTGACGATCATTGTCTCCGGTCTGATCAGATCTGATGGCAACATCGGATTAGCAATGCTGAGGTACACCAAATAATCACAAAAAGAAGGAACTCTTCCACAATACGTGAATTACTCACACTTCATAGGTCACGCTGGTTAGTGCCAGAAGTCACCCGCCTTGCAGAGATTTTTCCAACTTCTGTGCTGAGTAGAAGCTACCGAGAAGTTGACAGTGTGACACTTGGCAACGAAGTACGAAAACACTAACCAGTAAACTTAATCGGGTCGACAACTGCCGCCCCCCTGGATGGGGATCGCGGGACTCAAATCGCCAGTGGTTAATGGCATTGGTGGAAATGACCCGATCGCGCAGTCAGTCGCGCCAGTGCATCAAAGCTGTCGCCTTCAGTGCGCGGCTACCCAACTTCAAAACAAACTGAATACGTCACTGCCTCGAAGGGTTAGCGTTATGTCCCACACTATCCCGTTTTCCGTTGATTGAAACTGTAACAGCTCGAACCAATGTACTATGGCACATGATTTATGGCTGATAAATCGAACTGGATTGAATTGAAATTCTAGTTCAGACGCTTTGCGAAACTGAAATACTTTAAGATTGATTATGAGTGCTAGAAACTTTACATTGAGTTGAACACTCGGTTTTGTGCCTAATGATAATCTATTTATGACACCCAGGCAAAATCCAAGACCTCAAAGCAAACTACGAGCCCCAAGCTTGGTTTGGCTCGCATAAGACAACCAAGTGCAGACAAATTTGGTTTTGACTATAGACTGGACTCGAGCTCTCAGGAAGCTTGATTGACCTGTGTGGTCAAAGATCACACTTTTGGAAATCGAATATACCTTGGAGAATGAGGCGCTGTTGAAAATGACTTCATGATGGTTCAGCGAATAATGACGCAGCCCAAGTACTTCCCACTACTTCCCACAATGGAAGAAAAATGAGAGGGAAAATTATGTGGCATTTAACGAAAAATCTCACCGTCCAGCTTTTTTAGGCGTGGAAGTCTTCGACATGCTTCATCCCTCCAAGTCTCTGAGTTATTTTCCTCCAAGGGATTACCTAAAATAATCACCTGGTTTCGGAAGTTACGGCACTCACCTAAAAACAAAAGATCCTCTAAATTTTGTAGCTCAGACAACTTCTGGAACTCGCTCCATTCCTTCACTAAGTTGTTTGACATGTAAAGTACTCTAAGTCGTCTGAGAACACCGATCCCTTTGAGTCTCTCTAAAATATTGTACGAAATCCATAGTTGTTCCAAAGTGTCTCCAAGAACCTCCAAACCATTGAGATTTTTTATATTGTTTCTCGCCAAGGACAGTATTTTCAGGTTTTCTTTATAGAATGATTCAGTAAATGCTTTAAATTACTCAGTCCATTCAAATTGGTGATTTTTTCAATACAGTTAGTTGACAGAGACAATTTCCTGCAAAACTTAATCAAAAAAATGGTCCTCCTTACTCGCAAGCGGTTAATGTTGACAGAGATGCGTCTAGTTTTTCTATTGGTGGGTATTGGGCGTACAGCTTTACTTCCTTTGCTTCAGATGCTTTCTGACCCGTTTTTTCCTCCTATCGATGGTTGCGTCTTTGTCATCCAACTTACCCACTTCTTGATCGCCTCCTTTATTGTGGTAGGTTTGTCCTATTTCATGTTATTGATGATAAATCTTTGAAAGGGACTTCGTTTACCATTTCATAAAATACTATATGGTTGTGATGACAGTAAATAATTTTAATGCAGTAAAACGAGACTAATTCCAAAATCCCAGGAAATAGAGTGGATGGATAAGTTAAGAAGGTTCAGCAGTTTCACTGGATACGGATGCAAGTAGGGTTCGCGGTGACTCGTAAACTAGGTTTGGTGTGTATTCTATTGTGACACAGAAAGGAAATATACGGTCCATCATCATCTGTGACATTGGTCGCGTAGTGGGTACCCAACCTTGTTAGACTGACTGAAAACAAGCTATTCCAGAAGGAGGGCTTGTGCAGAGGCACGTGCAAGAATTTAATGTAAACGGTACAAGGGATTGTGGCCGATGTCAGGGTTGAAATCGGCGAGAGTTGGTGCGCGGCGTCTCATCTGAGAGGTCGTGCCACGTTGAAGGATCTATGGAAGAGAAATGTTTAACACTTGCTTTGTCACTGTATCTGGTTTGGAGTTTGAGGCTGCGTTCCAGACGTTTGTGGTTGTGGAACCAGTTTAATAAATGATGATGTTTTTAGGAGATAATCAGGTTTTGTTCGTGTATGCTGAACTTCCACCTCGATGTTCCAGTGTGAACTGATTCAGCCGCAGGAGGTGTAGATGATAGGGCGAGGTGGGGAATTCCGTGACATTCCTGGTGGCTTGATTCTGGACGTTTTCGAGCGTCATCCCTTGGCCAAATGATTCATGAAATTGCTCAACACTATCGGAGAATGGACAAGTGTGGTACGGATGAAATTATTTAGATCAGGAATATTCTGCGGGAGAGGACAAATATAATTGCACTCCTGTTGGTGAAGTTGAAGCCAATCGCTTAAGGGTAATGGTCGGGTAAAATCCACAATCTCAGCTCATTTGTGAGTAAGAATTTCAATATGCAGGTTGAGGTTTCTAAGGTGGGAAGGTAGGGGAGAATGGATGCGTTCATGGTGGATATATGGAGTTACTCTGGGGAGATATGAGAAACGATCGGTCATAGTCAATAAGCGGCAGACATCGAGAGACATCGCCTGATAGGCATCACATCCTCTCTGTGGGTTAGCAAAGCCCCAGCCACTGACACGACTAATGCAGTCGCCAAAAGAGCCAGCTCCAATAAAGGGGGGAAATCGGCGCCGCTCCACCAAACCTCGTCAGGAATGCTGCATGGACTGAAGACGACTAAGATAGACTGGCGGTCGGTCTCTGTATCTGTTGCGTCATTAGCCAGGAGTCTGCTCGGATATCACTTCCCTTCCACCCTATCACGGTATGGTAACCGCAAAGGGATCATCAATAGAGATGTCACAAATTCACCTTCATCCCACCCAGAAATATTGTGTTCTGCAGTCTCATCAACTGGTCGATCGGCGAATTTCAGGTATCGCCACCCAACGTGACCTCGTATTGATAACAAGAACTTTGTAGGCATCCCTCACATCCCTAGGGTACTTTGACGCACACTAGGAGGCGTGAAAAACTCGAACCCGTCAAATGACCGTAACTCCTTATTATTCAGCTCTATAGAATTTCATTCAGGGCAAACCCTCCACTATGTTTGGAAATTTCGATCGCCTATACCGAAGTCAAGACGAGGCTTTCGACCAGAAAATAACTGCATTTCCTGACCTCCAGCGCCTCGTTTTCAGCAAAATTCAGTTGATCAGGTCCCACACCGGAAACATGCTCGCCGACACTGAGTCAGGATCAGTCCCAGCAGGAACCCTGTCTGCATGACCGACTCGGGTGTAAAAATTCCTGCAGATTTGGTCCATCAGACCACCAGACCAGTTTTGGCAACTCTCGATAATTCCAGACACGCATTTTGTGACGTGGAAGAGGGACGAAAATTCCGCACTCAGCACTGTAATCTGTAATTCAGGATAATTCTGCCTAAATTCCATTCTCGAAAACCCTTACACATCTGATTCCCATACCACGCTTTTGCGCGCTTATATCGGCTTTTACTAGATCCCTTGTAATATAATACCGTATATCAGCAAAAACCAGCCCCTGGTCGCTAGCCTACTAAGTACAAATCTATCTATTCCCCACTCCATGTAATCACCTGTCATCACCCTAGTTGCATCGCATCCCAAGTTTTTCATTCTATGTATATAAATGCATATTATCCCATTTCATACCCCTCGAACTCACTATGTTTTGCAAATCCCCTCCCAGCCCCTCACCTTCCCAAGCTTTAAGCTTCGAAAGTGCCCGCTTTGGACGACCTGCTTTGCTGATCTCCACTTCACCCGACCTATGATCTACAAATCCGGGACCACCAAACGGACCAAGAAAACCTACAATATCGGTTTCGTTCCATCTTGTTTCCTCGACCAGGCATAAATGAATACCGCTGCTCAATGAACTGCATACACAAATGTGACGTCCGTCACGGGGCTGTCCAAAAACTGAAGCATGTCAGGCCAATGATGGCACGGCACTGCCATACTCAGTTTGATAGCACACCCGCAACTGTTCCATTCCTCCCCTAAACCGTGCCATCTTGCCTACTCGTTTCATTGACCCCAACGACCACCATGACATTCATTCCAATCTATTGGACCACTCGTTCAAATTCAACCACCTGTGTCCCCATCCAACCTAACCCCTTCACCTGACTTCCTAACAACAGAGCAACCAGTGAGTCCGCTTGTCCTCAGATTGCACTATATTTTTGAGACTAAACTTGCCGTGTTCTCCCAATTCGGATTATCCCATCTCCACCTCCAATTTTGCTTGTTATGACTCCGGCCATTTATCCAACCGCCCAAGGTCACTCATGGCCAGCAATGGTTTTCCAGTTTTGGTTCATGGCAGCCAACGGAGTCACCGGATTACTCGGACCTCATGCCTGTTGTTCCCTACAAGTTGCAAAAGAAACATTATTATTTTTAATCGAGTACCTCCCACTGTTTGTGACGTTGTCCCCTTTTTCGCGCAGTCACCACTACTCGCAAATCCCTCAGTCATGCCCCATTCTGACTGTAAACGCATGATAATGCCAGACGGCGTGCCACCCACAAGTTGGGAATAAACATTATGATTATCATATATTCATAGTTTGACATTGAAAGATGCCGGAAATTCAGCAGCACACATGAAAATACAGAGTTTTGAGGATAATGATATCCTCAACATCACGCTTGTGAAAAGTCAGTGACATAATCGACGGGGCGACCTGGATACGTTCTGGCTGGCGGTGGCGTCAGTCTGCCCACCGCCTGGGAAGAAGTGCTGGATCAAATACTGAGCTGCCGGTCACTTTCTCCTCTTTCGAATCTGCCTCAGTTTTCAGCTTAAAAGTATCGAGGAAAATTTTCAACGGTACGATACCCGAACATACTTGAGTGTCCGGCGTGCTGTTAAAGCGGAGCTGGTTTTGACGTCAGGTCCAGGTGTCTTGACCAACGCACAAGTCGTACGTCACACTACCGCGTTTGCGCAATATACGACCTCTAGTCACGGATCATGTCCCGGGCGATAGTCACGAACAAGGACCGGCGTTCCCACCTTGAATGGAGTTCCAGCTGCCGCCGTTATGTACCTTGACTCAGTAGGTTGTGTTGGCAACACGGAAGAATACACAGTTCCCAGTTTACGGCCTATGAGCGCTTCTGAAGGTGACTGGTGGTTCGACAAAGCGTCATTCGGGGTCGTTCCTTACACAGATAGGAGTCTCTGAAGGGCTTTGACGGACGTCTCCTCCCCTCGAGCTTTGAGCAAGGCCCTCTTGAATGTGTCGACGAACCTTTCTGCTTGACCGTTCGATTGTGGGTGGTACGATGGTGAACGATCGTGTGTTATCGCGTGTCGAGTGCGAAAGTCACGGAACTCAGCGGAGGTGAACTGCGAACCATTCTCTGAGACCATGGACCTCGTTAACCCATGCCGACTGAAAAAGTTGGAAACACTCACAGCGTACTAAATGTTGTTAGAGATGACATCGGAATGGTTTCTGGACACTTGAAAAAAGCATCTATCAAAACCAAATAAAAAGTGCCACGTATCGATCCTGCTTAATCAATGTGGATCAGAAACCAGGGCTTCTCAGGTCAAGGCCAGGGAACCGGTGGTCAGTGTGGCGGATTCTTGGCAGCTTGTTGGCATCGGGAGCAGCGTTCTACAAAACCAGTGATTTGCTGGTCCATGTGCGGCCAGTATGCGTAACTGCGAGCTATTGGCTACATACGTTTGATTCCTGGATGTCCAGATGGGAACAGACGGAGAACTCGCTGGCGTAAAGAGTGAGGAATAAACACGCGATCTCCAAACAGTTAATAATAATAATGTTTATTCCCAACTTGTGGGTGGGTGGCCGTCTGGCATAATCATGCGTTTACAGTCAGAATGGGGCACTACTGAGGGATTTGCGGGAAGTGTTGACTGCGCGAAAAGGGGACAATGTCACAAACAGTGGGAGGTACTTGATTAAACAATAACAATAATAATATGTTTCACTTGCAACCTGTAGTGAACAATAGGCATGAGGTCCGAGTAATTCAGTGACTCCGTTGGCTGCCATGAACTAAAACTGGAAAACCATTGCTGGCCATGAGTGACCTTGGGCGGTTGGGTAAATGGCCGGAGTCATAACAAGCAAAATTGGAGGTGGAGATGGGATAATCCGAATTGGGAGAACACGGCAAGTTTAGTCTCAAAAATATGGTGCAACCTGAAAACAAGCAGACTCACTGGTTGCTCTGTTGTTAGGAAGTCAGGTGTAGGGGTTAGGTTTGATGGGAACATAGCGGTGGTTGAATTTGAACGAGTAGTCCAATAGATTGGAATGAATGTCATGGTGGTCGATTGGGGTCAATGAAACGAGTAGGCAAGATGGCACGGTTTAGGGGAGGAATGGAACAGTTGCGGGTGTGCTATCAAACTGAGTAACAATTGTTTACGATCGCTAATGCATCTCAGCGATGAAAGAGCTGTCGAAAGCAATCATC